TCGCTTCACGAGAAGGCTTTGTAGGTATCTGGTTATTTAATTTTAACTTCTTTATTAACCAGGGATAAATAGTTATTTCTGTTTTATCTTACACGTTTTCTTTAGGGTTCTTGGTACGGGCCAGTAGTTCTTGTGACTGGCCAATACTTCTTGTGAAGGGCCAACACTTCTTGGTACGCGCCAGTAGTTCCTGTGACGGACTAGTATTTCTTGTGATTAGCTAGTACTTCGTGTGACGGGCTAGCAACCTTTAGGACAGGCAGTTCGATTTGTACGCCGAAGCAGAGATAGTAGGAAACCCTCTACTAGAGTTTTTCTCAGCCGGAAAGAAGTCACAGTGTACCGCAAGTTTTTGCTATCTATTTTATTGTGGGGTTATTAGTACGTATTTTTATCTAAACCTAATGTAAACGAGGTTTAGGGGTGTATAGTTTATAGTACATTTTATTAAACCCGAAACACGTCACCAAGAGCTCTTGATGAAGTATATTACTGATGGGTAACTAATATTTTTAATAACAGAGTTTTACTTGTTTTTTTTACCCCTAGCGTCCGTAAATAGTACACTATTATTTGTTTATTTTGATAAATACAGAACACACCTCATGTGTTATAGTTTTACGATTACCCCTAGTCCCATTTGATTATTTTATGATAATGTAGCGTTTAGTTGTAAATATAACTCCCAGTGATACTGGATTACTGTTAATGGTTGGGGAATCTAATCGTAAATGTACTAAGCATTTAGTTGGTAAACATTGTCATATTTGGAAGTGTGAACAAGTTGACCCCCCAGGTCAAACACAATAATTATATTATTAAACTTGGGTATATATTGAATTATTCTTGTTATTTAACCCCACTTGCTAAATGTCTGATTACATAGTCAGGTTGGTCAATAAGACCCATAGTAAGGTAACGTTTATACTTAAATAGGAGCATACTCAATTTGTAGCCGCTTGAAGGCCTTCGTAGAGGTAATGCTTATAGGTTTTTCTATTTGGAGTTTGATAGTGAACTGTCACTTGGATTGTTGGATGTGAGGTTAAGCTCCTGGCGTTCACTCACATACATAACTTTTTCTACGACTCACCCCTTCTTCACTGTAGTTAGTCGGCATCCAACATTTGGATAATATAAATCCCACCTCAGGTGCTTAGGCACAGAAAGTAGGTAGCAGCGTTCACCCAATTAATTTTCTCATGGGTAGTGCGTGCGTTTACACATTACACCAATGAATTGTTAGTACATTTACGAAGTTTATGTAATGTTTCTAAGAAAATATAGTACCTAATTTAATATTAATTTCTATGTATTGTAAACAGAAAAATATTAATTTTAAATCTCAAAGTGTAGGAAAGCGGTGCTTCCCCCGCTTCCATGGACCGCATGCCCCTGTAAATATTTAATATGACTACACTGAAGTAGTTGAATACTCTTGAGTTACCTCTATTTTCTTGAAAATCTTTTTCTTTATCTTCGGCTTTTAACTCTTCCTCTTTTTCTCGATCTCAACTTGGACAGAAGTTTTTCCGAAAGAACAGTTATAGAGATTGTAAATAAAGAAATGCTTATTTGTTTTTTTTTATTATTTCCAATAATATTTTTGCGTCGCCCCCTGTTTATAAGAGTTTTTATTGTATTTTTAAACTGCATGTAGAGGGCATATAGTTAATAACAGTGGTCTTAAATTTTATCCACGAAGGAATACTGTGACATCGTAATTTTTAGACTAAGACATGGCTTAAAGAGGTTGTGTAAATGACTGAAAAATATAAATTAACTGTGATAAAAAAAATATTCCGATGAATTGAGAACCTCCTCCTTTTTTGAAGACGGTTAAAAATGCAATAACTTAAGTCTGTTAACTGACATCATTCTGCATTTTGTTTTCGACATTTTCTGCTGAAATATTAAGTTACAATATAAAACGAAGGAATAATGTAAATTAAACTTTCTAAAAAAGTAGTGTAGCGGTCACACTGATGTACTGGCTTAACAACTGTTTTACAACACAGAAAAATGGGGGGGCCAATCTGACCCATCAACTACAGTGGACTGTAATAATAAAATGTTTGTGTACCTGTGATCCATGAAGATCCTGGTGATGAAGACACTTGAATTTAAAGGCCACCTCTTACTGAACACGTTTTATTTAAAAAACGAATAGAATTAGTTTGATTTAACACTTAAACATTTAAACCGACCACATACAGGGTTATAATAACCAATAAAAACTCCCAGGCCGGATATTTTGGAAAGTAATAAAGATATTTTAATTCTGTAAAAGCCTAAGAGCACTAAGAGAGCTTCAGTTTTAGGTATAAATTTATTTTAAATAGGTCAATATGTAGATGGCGCTGCGCTCAATAATTTTTTTTCGATGGGAGGATCTTTCTTGTGTAGCGCATCTTGTAAAAATGCATTTTTACGCAGATTTTGTTTTATGAACAAATTTAATAAATCTAGCCATTTTTGATATACAGAGTGAGTCACTCAA